GTGAAATGATAGCCTCTCTAATGTGTAACTACATGATCATTTCTTCCAGCCATTTCCTTGCTTCTAGATAGAACTGTAGTCCAAGTATAATTTTTTTTCGGTTTTTTTTCCTCTTATTCATAATCCGTTTGCAATTTTAATTAATCATTTATTTAACTATTTATCTAATGCTCAGCTAATGATTTATTCACTTATTTTTCTTATTTACCCTCGTCAACTGTGGCTTACCTGTTCAGAAATAGGGCCTTTTGAAACTAATACTCATTGCATTACTGTGTCATAAAAAAATATCGCAAGAACAATATAGGTGTTCCCTTAATTATACGTACTTCGCACAGTGTATGGAGCTCACTGTGTTATACTTTCGATGATTCTTTAATTTTTTATCTTTGTTTCGCGAGAACACTTCAACTGAAAATCATTGCAAGAACAAAGACCCCTATCAAAATGATGGTACCCACACAGCTAACTGTTCTCTGTATCCTGCTGCATTTGTGGGTTTGAGGAACTCAACAGGTAATCGTTAAACCTTTTTGTCGATTTCTTGAGACCTTCGATTCAGCAGAAAAAACAAAGGTCTTATGGACAAGGGCTCCTTTAAAGGTGTTTCTGTGTCACTTACACTATCACTCTGACCAAGTAAAAATAAACAAGAAAATTAACTTATTAAAATAGATATTGAAAGGTGAACTTGTCGATATAATGTGGGCTGCAGGCTGACTCACGAATTCATCTCTTTGAATGCTCTTTGTTGCTGTTGTTTTTGCTTTAATTCGTTTCGTTGCTTATTCTGTTCTTATTTGTTTGTTTATTTTTTATTTTTGTTCGGTTTTTTGCCTGTTTTGCGTTTTCAGACATTGATGAGTGTGTCGAAGGTTCACACAACTGCAGTCCTAATGCCTTTTGCAACAAAACCAAGGAGTCGCACAACTGTAAATGTAAACCTGGATATATTGGGAATGGGCGAGAGTGCAAAGGTAATCGTAACTACGCGCACAATTAAGAAGAGAGAGTCTTCTACGGAGGTAATGGCACCTCCTAATTTTGGGCTGTTTAACTCAAAAAAAATAAGAGGCAATCAAATTAATTCGAAGTACTTTGAGATAAAAGTAAATAGCAAACTGCAAGCAAACTGTTCTCGGATGACAGCACCACTACTTTAGGGGATTGAAAATAAACGAATAAATGAAAGCGGATAACAAATTTCGCGAAAACAAATCAATTAAAAAAGCTGAATACATGAAGAATACTATGAATAACAAGGCGACTCCTTTACCCAACTTTTATGGAAGGGCTTGAAGTATACAGCCATGCATAAAGTAAAAAATAAATCGTTTCAGGCTGGAAACCGAAGACTGGAACTGCGATATTACGAAGAAAATGTGTAAACAAAAGATTAAGATTTTACAGAAAGGAACCCAACTGTTCCTCCTCTAAATCGAATGTATCTTTCAACTATTTTTAGGGGTTACATCGTGTAACGAGATCCATCAAAATGGCATGTAAGTAAAAACGGTTGATCAGATTTAGTCATCACCTTACTTCAAATATTTCACTCTTTTGCGTTTGGTTGTAACCCATTAAGTTATGGAATAGGCTCAAATGTTTAGTACTCGCTTCCACTGAAATGAAATTCTTCCTTTTGAAGTTGGTTTAAGCCGAGAGGTAGATTTCCTTTCTGTAACGTAAGCAGATACAAAACTTCTTCGCCCTTTAAAAGCTTTTTGCTTCGTGGAGAAGGTACCCGAGCATATTCTGGTGTCAAGCGGAGGTCGATTTATGCAACACTTCCTAATTATTGATGACGCATTTGGTTAAATAATACACGTTCACCTATCGACCACACACTACAAAATAATAGATCTGTCTACTTGTTCATGTGTTTTCACTACCATTTTTTATCCATTTATTTATCCATTCATCGTAAATAACTATATACCATTACCATTGTCATCTCGATCATAGTCAGAATCACATTGTGTGTCACTATGATCATGAAGTCATCATCATGATTATTATTTTATCATTTTTTTAATCGTAATGATAATAATTGATTATTGTTTCTAACAATATCTGTTATTGTTTCTCATAAAATAGCGCCGATATTAGTAGTGTGGTTACCCTTATTGTTGACTCTAAACCAGTCTCTGTTCTCTGTCACATGGGTGATTTTGGATGTGGAGATGGTGGATGGACGCCGGTTTTGAAGATTGACGGCCGTAAGGTGCATATTCAAAAGCTTGATTTCTTAAAATATTTATATATTTGGTACCCCTAAATAAAGTGGTCAAGATAGTTTCGAACATGATCGAAATGTGTAATCTCTATACCAGCGAAAAATAAAATAGCTCGGGATTGATTGTTCGATTGTTGGAATATTTCCAATATTAGGGAGTGCCTAGCTTCTGTGCACGTAAAGACGTTCAATCTGATCAATTTTATGTTTAACATAATTTTTTTTGCGTGAAAAAAAAAAAGAAACACAGTTTCCCTTTGTAATATTCTCATACACCGTCAAAGCAGATTGTATATCATCAATTTATCTAAGAAATTCTGATCTCACAAAACTTTTATGATCCATCTGATATTGTGTAGCAAGCCGAAATAGAAATGCCACTGACAACGACACTTTATTCCTTAACAGACAAAAAAATTCGATAGCATCTTGCGCAAGCGACTTGCTAAACATGTTGCGTAGCGACAAGGTATCTTTTTGACGTGCGAACTAGGTGTAAATTGCTTGATGTATCCAACGTTCTTGAAGAAATAAACAGATGACTTGTTTTTTACCACAGGCAACCTTTCGCTATAGTTCTCCTTACTGGAGTGATTATGAGGAATTCAACCAAGTAGGAGGCAAGACTGGTTTTGACGAGCAGGAATCAAAGCTACCTACCTACTGGAACACGTCTTTCACCAAGATCTGTCTCGGTATGATGATCGAACAACAGCTCAGGTTCACTGTCATCAACAAAGAGGGTGACTCTCTGCACTCTCTCATTGCTGACGGAGAATTCCGTGCCATTCCTTTGGGTCGTCAAACATGGAAGTCACTGATTGGTTCAAGGGCCTCTTTGCAACTCAACTGCAACAAGGAAGGGTTTAATGCAGGTGGTGACACTGCCAGATATTCCAAAGCAAGGATTGGTATTGTTGGCAACTTTGAAAACGAATGCAACTCATGTAACTCAAGGATTGGATTTGGTTCGGAAGGTAGACCTGATGACTCGAACACTTGCGGAAACGAGGCGAACCCGAGGGGTCCAGATAATGGAGAGAAGCATATCAAAGCCATGGGATATATCTTTGTGCAGTGAAAGAAAAAAAAACGATTTAAAAGATAACAATAAGTTTAACCCATGCAATTTTTGAGGAATACGTGGTACGTATCACGACACATTCCAAACTGAGATCCAAGATGCATGAAAGGACATCTATTTTTAATGATCCGGGTATCATTAACCTTTATTGTATCGCTGTCGCATCATGTTGTCTTGTTAGGTTTACCCTCTATATTGTTACAGTGAGTGATTAAAAGGATTTTGAGAGTATAATGATATCAAATGAAAGAAAGAAACGAAGAGCAAGCCAGCGAAAGACGAGAAACTTAACAGAAGCGAACGCGGATACTAGCAACCAAAATTGAACTAACAATTTGTATCGAGATAAATATCATTAGACCCTCAGTTGAAAATAAAGAAAGAGAAATGGAACTCACAGGAGGACAGCAAATCATTAAGCAATTGCATAAAAAAAATTCAGGTTCCGTCGGAAAACGCGCCTGTGTCTCCTTACGCTATTTGAGCGCTACTACCAACTGAGAATCGATGCCGCTCGTTTGTAACGAGGCAAATTTTAGATTATTTTTTCCTAGATAACTTTAATAACAACTTGTGATGAAAGACACCTGAAAAAATTCAGACTCCGACGGAATTCGAACCTGTGCCTTGCACATACTATCGATATCATTGATTTGCTAGAGAGTTTCCGACCATTTTTTTCCCATGGTTACTTTTCTCTTTCAAGAAACTCATATTATTTATTTACGGGAAATTCACGGATGCTAATGACCTAACATTAGCAAAACAGCAGACCTCTTTCCACCTAAACGAAATGAGAAAATCATTGAAGTCCCCATTTTTATTTTTTAGCGTTAGAAAGCAACTGAGTAGCTAACGTTCAATATGATTAAAGGAAGGTCTCAATGGAGTTAAAATCTAAATGTTAACTGTCGAATAAAATAGGAAAAACTTAATCGTCAACCATCCAAGCTACCATCAATTGCGACTTTCTTTTCAGAAAATGTTGGCCATCTCCACAGGAGTTCATCTCTCTTGTACCATATTTTTTTAGCTAGAATCAAATAGCTAGACGTGAACTCGCGTTCTGATTAGGTATTGAAGAGAGGGCATTTAGCGTAGAATTGCACTCGTGCATGAAGGAATATTGGTGACGTGGGTCGCGAGCAAAAATTGTTGCTATCGTGAAAAAAAAAATGCAACTCATGCTACGAAAAATATCTCCTTGGAAATGAACAAATTTGCAGAAAACGGATGTCTGCTAAATTTTGAATTGAAATTTAAATCGTTGGAAAATTTGAATAAACCTCCCACACGCAAAATTACGAGAAAGCGCATTGTGGAAAAAACAAAATGGCAAAGACGAGGGAAGAAAGCCAAACGACAGATCTTGCCGAGGAAAACCAAACAAGCATCGCAAAAGAAAACAAACAGGTATCAATGCCGAAAAAAGCCAAAACATCCATTCCGGAAAACCAAACCATTGTAACCTATACAGGTTACGAACTGGTCTCTTTTAAGGACAATGTGGTTTCAAAAAACACTAAAAACGTACAAGTACATCCGTACGCCGTTTGCAGTCTTGGTTCAAGGAAAAACACGGCAAACAAATTAATCTCGATGCAATTTCAAAGCAAGAAGTACCGCAGCTTCTCAAACACTTATTTCTAGAAATAGGGCAGACGGCAAAAGAAAACAAAGGCAAAGAATATGAACCAGGAACATTACAAACTTGCCGCAATGGTTTACGATGGTACTTTCTGGAGCGTCCATGTCCATCGGCAGTAGGCAACTTCGACCTCGAAAACTTCTCAGCCACTGAGTTCGAAGAAGTTTCAACAATACTATCCATGAAGAAAAAAGATTTGAAGCAAAGAGGTCTTGGCAACAAACCAAATGCCGCTCAACCAGTTGAAACAGAAGATACTGGAAATGTGGTCGCTAAGTGAAATCGGCCTTCAAAATCCTCACTCTCTTCTCCGTCTAATTTTGTAGAACAATGTCACGCACTTAGGAATGAGAGGATTTAAAAACAGCATGACTTTCATCTAAGTGATTTCACCGTGACAGAGCAGTATATCGAGGATAAAGAGCGACAAACCAAGAACCGCCATGGAGACGACCCGACTGCGACAAAACGGGTGAGAAATTATAACAACAAGATTTGGAGGACGGTTGGTGGAGAGCGAGATCCGCACAGAGCATTTATCGAGTACGTTGGCCATCGTCCGAAGGGTGGTAACGTTCCTGGAAACTTCTACCCAAGTCCAGTTGACAGCCCAAAATTCAATATCTGGTACAAGGTGGTTCCAATTGGTAGAAATACATTGGGAAAGCAAGTGCAGAGTATTGCGTCTATTGCCCCCCTTGACTGCCAATTCACAAATTCGAGTGGTCGCAAAACAATCATCCAAGTGCTCCGTGATGATTTCGACCCACTGGAGATCTCATATCTCAGAGCTGCCTGGCCACGCCAATCCGGAATCCATATCCAGCTACAGCCTCAATCTTCTAGAAAAACGGGAGATTGTCCTCAACTGCTTAGCCCCACCAAGCAACACAGCACATACGAGTAACCGTGACGGCAGTGCCAGTCGTTCTATTTACCTGATGGAAGGGGCAGTTGGCGGAATGTTTACTGGAGTAGCTTTTAATAATTCTCCAGTAAATATTTCCATAAACTTTCAGTCCAACATAACATGAATAAGCAACTCTCTGAAAGAAAAACAGTTAAAATGGTGACTTTTGAGCTTTCTTGAGCTATTTTTCGTACGAGTTTAATGAGAAATTCTAGTCTTAACATTATAATTTGATTACAATTTTTTATAACCGTAAAGCACTTACCGCTTTTTTGTAGATCTTGTTTAAATACCGGAACGCTTGAAATTTTTCTTTCGCTTGACCATTTCACTCGTTGTCTGTGGGCGCTATATCTTGCCAACTTGTATGGTAGCAGGAAAATCCAAGATATTCATTGAATGAAATAATTTTTCCATAACATTTTAGTCTTAAATAACTCTTTATTTTGTACTTTCAATCTTTTGCTGAAGATTGTAAAATGTGAGGCGCTACTTTCTCCACGATGTTCAAGAGGTTGAAATAAAAGTGGTTTTCTCTCTAAAAATATCTTGTTTCCCATTCGCTAGATCACGACCGCCTCTCCCTGTCTCGTGCTTTTATCAAAGTTAATGGAAAGATCCCTTGTAAATTCCCCGCCACTGCCATCACATGGTTCTCGGAGAATTTCCGCTTTAATCCTCTGAATCTCTTGCTTGTATATGATTTGAATGTACTCCTTCATGTTAGAATTATGACTAAGACGATAGCCTTGCTTTCCAAGGAGCGGTCGGAGTTTTTCTGTCTTTCGTAAAGGGATTCCAGCTTTGAGAAACTCCTCTACCACCTGTAAACGGTATGCTCTCTCCTCGACTGGCAGCGTGTTGTCCTTGCTCTGTGTATTATCTTGTCTAAGTCGTGCTTTCAGGAGGCAACATGATCTTGAAGTATGCTTTTTTAGAGCTTAGAAGCTCCTTGCAAGCATCACAAAACAGTTTACCGTTTCGGAGACACAAACTTTCCCCTGGAGATTGTTTGATTCTGTCGTTAAGACTAATGTTTTTTGGATCTGATGTACCTCTTTCGCTTTATTTTCCTTTAGTCGGTTTCAATACACGCTCCCGAGAGACCGAGGCTCTTTGTATGACGTTGCCTGAAGAACTAGAAGTGTTCGAGGATCCATTCGACGAGGAGGACACCATCTTTTATCTTGGATCTCAGTCAACTCGCTAGCGAGTCGTACAAGTAGGGCTTGAAACCAAGAAACGTTACAATGATCGCAGTGAATCCACCGTAAGCGCAATTCATTATTAGAAACAAACATTCTAGAAACATAATTCAATCAAGAGAAGTATATTCAATACAAAATTACGAAAATTGTTCACATCTTGGAATTAAAAAAGCAGATTATACCAGCAGTGCTTTTCTTTGAAAAAAGTTTAAAATTATGCTCGTTTTCAGTTTCCATATTATGCTCGAAGTTATGCTGGCACAATCGACTCTAGCATACTCCAGACCAGTCTCCGTCCTCTGTTACATGGGAGATTTTGGACGTGGAGATGGAGGATGGACTATAGAGATAAAATTTGTACACTGATACACTTAAGCAAAAGGAGGTATTATGATACGTTTTTCGAAAATAATACGGTCAACATGAAAAAAATCTGTCAAGGAATCAGTAAACTTTTACATCGACGGAAAAAAAAAATTTAGAGTCATATCCGCACTAAAGGATTTTAATGATCGCAACAAAATTGTTAAGGAAGGCTAGCGGATACCTAACATTAGTGCAAATCTTCAATTTCATCCTACCTTTTTCAACGTGTTTTACCCGAATATTACTTGTACCGAATGATGAATCTTATGTTTTATACTCCTCACCTACCAAATGTTCAACTGCCGTCATAGCTCCTGTTCTTTCAGAGATACTTTGGTGCGATAGTCTGTAACTTTCGAACTTTCGTCGGCCACTTCATTCCGTCGATTTGGCTGAAATTTGGCATGAAGTCTAACTTGGTGTTCCTAATCAAGAAATAGATATGAAAAAGTTCCAGTTATTTTTGCTTGCCAAAAAAACGGGAAAGTGCACTTGGTCTGCTCATATTTGCCCGCCAATATGGCAGATCGAAGGTGATCTTTGAATTCAATTCGAGTCCTATCGTAAAGATTTCTCAAAATCTCGTGATATCCGTGAAACTATCTTCCCTTCCCTTCAACATTTATTTTAAAAAAACATGGCAAATGTCTGGTTTTATTAATACATGATCCCAACGTTCTAAGGTCGCTTTAGGCCGCCTTGAACAGTGAAAAATTTATCCCAACTTAGTAACCGAATATCTCCAGTGTTACCTCGATCCAGGAGTTACCATTTACTGTGAACAACGTTTGCTCATAGATAAACAGATTTCATAAACAAAAAAATGGGGGAAATGAAACGGTCAAGGAAAAAAATTATCAACCCGTAATGACCTGGCTATGTTTGGGACCTGGTCCTAAAAGCTCTGAAATCAATTTACGATCAGAAGAAAACGGTTGAAGTACATTTATCGTCCGGAAAGTTTCCTAACAGTATAGAAATATCTTTTCATTTCACATAAACGTGACGATGTTCAAGCAAAATTGTTGCAATGGTATGATTCTAGGTAACCAATTGAATTTAAACAAGCCACGCAAAATTATGCCTAGAGTTTAATTCGCTTACCGTTTAGAGAACAAAGGATTTTGTGAAAGAAACATTTTATCAATTCTTATATACTACTGGTGATAGCAGTTTGTCATTTGTTTGAATTAAATCGCTGCAAACTTAAAATTAATGATAC